ATCAAATTATATAAGAATAGTAGAGGTTTGATGATGCATCAAAGAATATATGCAAGTGAAATTCTCACGAGATTTGAGATGGAAGAATGCAACTCAATTTTGATATCTACAAAACCAAGACTGCAACTGCCGAAAGATTTAGAAGAAGATGATGTCGACCTAACCCAATACAGAAGACTTATTGTATCATTGAGATACCTTTGTCATATGAGGCATGAGTTAATGTATGATAAGTCAGGCCTTATATGACAAAGGCATCTCAATGACCAAATAAGTCTTATGTATTGGGTTGGATCGACATCATCTTCTTCTGCATCTTTCTACAGTTGCAGTCTTGGCTCTGCAGGTGTCAAAGTCGAGTTGCATTCTTCCATCTCAAATCTCTTGATAATTTTACTTGCATATCTTCTTTGATGAATCATTAAACCTTTACTGCTCTTTTATAATTCAATCCCAAGGAAATATGAAATTTCACCCAGATTAGACATTTTCAATTTCTTGTTGAGATCACCTTTGAAGTCTTCGATCTAACTTTTGCAGCTACCATTTATCAATAAATCATTAACATAGAGATATAGTATAAGAAAATCACTATTGCTTCTTCTTATATATACTCCATGTTCAATTATGCACGTCAAGAATTCCTTCTCCATTAGAAAGCTATCTATATTATTATTTCAAGCTCTTGGAGCTTGCTTCAGTCCATACATAGCGTTATGCAGTGTGTACACCTTTCTCTACTCGTCATGCTTCATAAACCCAACTGGTTGTGCAACATAAACTTCTTAGTCTAAGGGTCCATTCAGGAATGCACACTTTATATCCATCTGTTATATGTGCCAACTGTTTATTTCTGCTAGACCAACAACCAACCTGATTGTTTCGTCCTAGCCACATGTGCAAATACTTCATTGAAGTCGATTCTTTCTTTCTGAATAAATCCTTTAGCATCAAGTCTTGCCTTGTGTCGAGTTACTTCTCCTTTGGGATTCAACTTCATCTTCTATACCCACTTCACATTAATTTCCTTCTTTCCTTGAGGCAATTCAACAAGTGGCCAAGTGTTGTTGTCTTTGATGGACTTCACTTCGTCATTCATTACTTTCACGCACTTCAAATCCTTCAATGCTTTAGCTGCATTGTCTAGTTCCATATCTGCATAGAAAGCATAATGTACCAGCTCACCTTCCTTATTGACCACATCATCTAATATAATCACACAATCTTGGAACCTTGCAAGCATATGTTTTGTTCTTTGAGGTTTTCTTATACCTGGTTGATCTATAACTTCCTCTTATCAAACTTCTCACTTGAGTTTCTGGTTCTTCAAGTAAGATTCTCACTAAATCCTTCTTGACATTTTCAGTCTAATCCCATTCCTTAAACTCGTCTATGATCACATCTATACTAATCACAATCTGCTTGTTCATTGGGTCGAATAACTTGTAACCTCTCGTCGAATGATATCCAACTAGAATTATTTGACTCAATTTGTCATCAAGTTTTCTTCTCAATTGACCTGGTACATGTCTATATGCAATAGATCCAAATACATTCAGATGACTCAAGCTAGGCTTCACACCAGACCAACATTCTTCTAAAGTAATTCCTTTTAACTTCTTCGTCGGACATATGTTCAAAATATATGTTGTTGTCGACACAGTTTCTCCCCACAATTATTTAGGTAGATGGTTGTCATTCAACATACTTCTCACCATATTCATGATTGTTCGATTCTTTCTATCTGTAGTTCCATTCTGATGTGGAGTATAGGGTGGCACCACCCCATGCACTATCCCTTATTTTTCATACAATGCATCAAAATATTCCGACACATACTCTTAATTACCATCAGTTCTCAAAACTTTGAGCTTTCGACCACTTTATCTTTCAACGATATATTTAAACTTGGGAAATACCTTGATCATTTCACTTTTCTTCTTGATCAGATAAGTCCACAATTTTCGATTGAAATCATCTATGAATGTGACAAAGTATTTGTTACCTCCCATCGAATTCACTTGGATTGGTCCATATACATAAGAGTATATGACTTCAAGGATTTCCTTCGACTTGTTTCCTACATCCTTGTCGAAGTTGTTCTTGTGCTGCTTCGACTGCACACATTCCTCACACACCTCATTTGGAATGTCGATTTATGGTGATCCTGAAACCATATTTCTTCTATTTAAATCTCTGATGTCTTTAAAGTTAAGATGGCCAAGTCTATATTTCCATATCCACTTATCTCTGCTAGTTTCAGTTGCAAAGTATTTGTGCTCCATCACACTATGTTCAATCTTGAAGGTCCTATTCTGAGACATTGGAGCCTTCCAAATTAACCTTCCTCTTTCATCGACGAATCTCATCATCTTGTCTTTGATCGACACTTTATAGTTCTTTTTGACCAACTACCCTATGTTGAGCAAGTTGCTCTTCATGCCTGGTATGTACAACACATTGGAAATTATTGACCTTTTACCATCCTTCCTCGTAATCAGAACATCACCAATATCTTCAACTTCTAGGGTATTGTCAACTGCGAATTTCACCTTGTTCTTTGTTGAGGATTTTAGGTTGACAAACCAGTCTTTCCTTCCAGACATATGTGATGAGCATCTTAAATCCAAGTACCATTGGTACTTGAATTTATCTTCATCTTTGGTTGTAACCATCAGCATCATCTCTTCTTCTTCATACTTTGCAAATTTTGCATCACTTTCTTGATTCTTTCTCTTTTCTAGATAATCACTAAAATAGTGACCATGCTTTTGACAATTATAACACTGAATGTGACTCATGTCAGACTTTCGACCACCACCTCTTTGGTTGGCTTGGTAATGAGGTCATCTTTGATTCGACACAATTCCTTCCTACTGGTTTCCTCTGCTAGTCGAATTATTGTAGCCACCTCCACCTTTGTCAACCCACTTTCCTTGTCCTTTACTTTCTTTTGCTGATTATGCCTGCAAAGCCACATCACTCTTCGAATTTCCTGCAGCTCTTTAAGTCATTCGTTATTCATAAGATTCAAGTATCTCTTGAAGCTCTTCTATTTTTAACTTCGACAAATACTTCGATTCTTCTATGGCTACCACCACGTGGTCGAACTTAGAAGCCAAATACCTCAAGATCTTTGAAACAACAACTCTTGTTGTTAATGCTTCTCCATATACCTTGATTTGATTCACTAGTTTCATAACCCTAGTGAAGAAATCAGATATGCTCTCGCTATCTTCCATCTGAAGCAATTCATACTTTCTTTTGTGAGTTTGTAACCTCGCCTCTTTCACCTTTTCTGCACCTCCAAAAGACTTCTCAAGGATCTCCCAAGATTCTTTTCCAGATTTTGAATCACTCATTTTTTCAAAATTTTCTGGACTCAGACATTAATGAATTATAAAGAGTGCTTTATAACTCTTTTTCTTCTTCGATTCCATGTGTTTCTTTCTTTTCTTCTTCTGGAGCATCTTCTCCAAGCGCTTTTAATTCATCCTTTACAAGATCCTAAAGACCTTGACACCTGAATATAACCATCATCAGTTTGCACCAATTCTCATAGTTATCTACTTTCAGAATTGGAAGACTTACTGGATAATTCTCATTCCCATAATTCACCGCCATCCTGATTTCTTCTTCTTCCCTTGAATCGATCAACTGAAGCTCTTTATATCAGATGTTGAAAATTCACCAAAATCTATGATGAACAAGATTGTTATCGTTAAACAATGACAATGAAAAGAAAACAAAATTAAAGAAGAAAAAGGATTTAGGGTTTCTGCAGAGTAACTCTCTGCCCACAAAATGTGGAAAACTTTTATTCACTTGCAACTGCAAATACTGTAAATGAATGAATACAAGAATAAGAGTTACTCCCTTTATTTATAGCTTTAGGTTAGCTTGGTCTCTAAGTCAAAAAACCTAAAACTATAAAGGCCCAAAATACATATTTTAGAACTAAATCAAATATGTGTGAAACAACTTCTTCGAAATGCTATCTAGACTAATTCGACACATTTACATACTGAGTATTTCGACACACCTTATGCCGAGCAACATCCTGCTTCGACAGAAGAAATTACACATTTAACAGCTCCAACATGGTTGAGAGTTTAACTATTATATCTCAAATTCAAAATATCTTGGATAACTTTGAAGAAGTTATAGTTAGCCATTCTTATAAAGAAGCTAACAAGTGTGTAGATTGATTAGTTTCAGTGGGATGGATATTATCTTTTTTGATGAAGCTCCGATCTTTCTTTTAAACTTGTTAGATGATGATGCTAGAGGTGTCCTTACCTCTAGATTAGTTAATTTGTAGTTTATGTTTTTCCCGACCTTTTGTCCTCTTTGTTATAAAAAAAAACATAATTTCACTTTGTAGTTGGTTTGTTTTGTGGATTAGTTCCATTTTATTCCTTTCTTTTGCATTTGAGTTATACACCCCTATTCACTTAGAAGAAGATAAAAAAAAAAAAAAATCTTGTTGCTAAGAAAAATCATGTAAAAAAAAATAGAACAATTGAATTACTTGGGGGCAAAAGTGCGATTAAGCGGAATATCACAAGACTCCACTATACTATCCCTTTTCTCCCCCAATAATGAACCTAATTATTTTTCGGAAGCAAACCTAAATTTTCTAGTAAACAACTAATTTTTTGTATTTTGAGAAGCTGCGAGATATGATCGACAAAGAGACCCTAATCAATAACCACAATCTGATGAGTTAGGTACCCAAAAATTTGGAAGATGTAGTACATATAACTATAAGAAGCTTCATTTCCTTACTAGTTTCATATTTTGTTTTGATATGTTTTGATTGAATCACACGAAACACAATCAATCAATCAACCATGATATCTCTTCCTTCATAATGTGACCTAATTCGGTGGGTCCATTTCCAGTTATCATCGTGCCTTCCATCTTTTATTCTGTGTCCATAAATTAATTGAGTTTCAGATTCCCCTTCTTATTTTTCAGGTCTCATTTCACATTTGAATATGGCTTGGTGGGATTTAAGACCCTTGTTTCGTTTTCAATCTATAACCACCCGTTTTCAGGTCAGTACTTACCTTCTTATTCACTCTCACTTGCACTTTATAGAAAATTCAGTAATATTGTTTGCATTTGAAAACCGTTGAGAATTAGCATTTATGCTAATCCTATACATAATCATAATTAACGCTCAGTTAATTATGATGATGTGGCACACGAAGCTTCGTGTAAGGAAACAACCAGCATAACTAACACTGAGTTAGTTATTGCTGGCAATGCAATAAGTTAAAAGTACATATCTCACCGTGTGTGATTACTCTTCCAAAGATTTACATGCCAAACTATGTATGTAGCTGACTCCATCTGTGGGGAAAATTTGATTGTGGTCATTGTATTTATGTTTATGCTATAGTTTGTAGACATTTTGTTGGGAATGGATGTGTATGATAATCATAGGTTTTGATGTGCATCTTTAGTTTACTGTTTGTGGTCATTAGCCGTATTCATGATTGATGTTTATATTATTGATTGTTTGCCTTGTTAGAAAATCTGCACCATATTTTAGAGATCTAATAAGTTTATCTCTAACTATAGAAGAACGAGTACGTGTGTCACATTGTTTTGACGTCATTTTTTGCGCATTTTGATTAATGAATTATTGTTTGGGCTTATAAGTCTTATATTACAACTCTTTGATTTTTAACTTATATATCGCTTTGTGAGAATTGTGATTCATGTGAACTGATGCTCTATGCTTCTATTAACAGTTGACTTTTTTCCCTTTAGGATAGTGCCACCGCGGCTTCTCTGTCATTTCTACGTATGTAGGCTGGTTGTGTTATCTGTATCTGATTGATTTCCTAGCTTACCTTTGAAGCTTACTATTATTGAAGACTAAATTCAATTGTCAATCTTGATTTTTGGTGCTTTTCCTGAGTCATTCTCGTAAACCTATTTGTTGATGATGTTGCTAGATATGCTTGAATTCGATTTCCATAACATATATGATGGTTTTATTTTACACTAAGGATTTGCAAGTTTCTAATTTGGATATTTTGCTACATTGTTCAACTTTAATATGTATCCCATGTGTTCATTGAAAGCTAGAAAATTTAGAACTTGTAAATTGCAATAAAAGCAAAGCAAATCAGGGTATTTTCATGAAATTTGTCCCTGAAAGTGATTTTTTTGAGGTTACCTAGGATTTATCGAGAAGGAGGCCGGGGTTCTCTGCTATGACTAGTGCTCACTTTTCATCCATTAATTCTCCACTGATAGACAAAAAGAGTGAAGAGGTACAATTTAATTAAAATTTTCTTGAATAAACAAAGAACATTGGTTAAGCTTGGCCTTGCCATATCGGCTCAGAGAAGAGGTATATGAGTATAACTTGTTTCTAGTATTTTTCTTACCAAGGTAAAGTTGGAAAAGGGATTGGCATATAGTCTTCTTATATTGATTTACTAATAAGAATATGTGTTCTCATGTCTGTACAACTAACATTCGCCAGTCTCTTTCCCATATTGCTTTCTGTCAGTCATCAGCAATTTCAATTTGGAGCCAAACAAACATAGACTCTCTTTGGTAAAAATAGCGGTTGGTTGATAAGCTAATTGGTAGTTTATAGCTTATGACTGATAGTTGATGACTGATAGTTTATAGTTTATGACTGATAGTTGATGGCTGATAGTTTATAGCTTATAATTGATAGTTAATTGAAGTGTTTGGTAAAATTAGCAGTTCAATTAGCCGATAAATTAAAAATGACATAAAAGACATTTAATATATAATTATTTTATTTTAAATTAAAATGTACTATAAAGAGTAGTATTGAGTTTTCGTTAAAATAATTAGGGCAAAAGTGGAAGAAAAAATGATAAGTTATAAGCTAAATCGCTATTTGAAGTAGCGTCTGGAAAATAAGCTCTAGCCTATAGTTAGTAATATAAGTTATAAGCCCGTGATGAAAAGACTGTTACTAAACATGTCTTTTATTATCATTTGAGCTTATAAAATATAAGCTATAAATTCAAAAAATGACTTGCCAAACCGAGCCGTAGAAATGATCGACATAAACTGATGCCTACTGATCTCATCTGTGGTTTTTGTTGTCAATGGAATTGATTACAAAATATTGATTATTATTAGCAGAATAATGACATGATAATGTTTAGTATTAAGAACGATTTCCTCATTACTACAAAATATTGGTTATTATTAGCAGAATAATGACATGATAATGTTTAGTATTAAGAACGATTTCCTTATTATTACAAAATATTGTATATTATTAGCTGTAATTATATAATTATTTTAGTATCTCCTTTATTATTTACGATTTATGACATCTAGGAATTCGGGCAGCGGGAAGTCCAGCTTGATTCACACACTATGAGTTCTCATGGATATGCAGTTGCTAGAATACACATGCATGATTGGTTCATGCTATTGCTCCTTGTTTTGATTGAAATCACCCTATACATGATCCATCCTTTCTATCGCTTTGTTGGGAAGGAAATGATGACTGATCTCAAATATCCTCTCAAGAGTAATACAGTTCCTGTCTGGGCTGTTCCTGTAAGTTTGTTGATTAAGATATGACACATGTAAATTCATTTTTCTTCCCGAATAATTACTTTAACATTGTCGTTTACTATCACGGTTAGATGCTTGCAATTGTATTGCCTGTCGTGATCTTTCTCGTTGTTTATTTCCGAAGGAGAGATATCTATGATCTTCATCATGCCGTATTAGGTATTAACTTTTAAATACCCTTATTCATTTGATTTCTAACAAAATTATATTTGATATATTAAAACAGTTAAAGTGGATGACGATAAATTATTTGCTGGTATAGGTCTCTTGTTCTCCATTTTAGTAACAGCGGTGATAACTGATGCGATAAAAGATGCAGTTGGGCGACCTCGACCAGACTTCTTCTGGCGGTGTTTTCCAGATGGAAAGGATGTATGTCTTCCTCAAATTTTAGGTTTTTAGTTCATGTTTGTACGAGAGAATTTCTCGTCCAAGGTATATTTAATTGCTAATGACTTCTTATTAGGTTTATGATAAATGGGGAGATGTCATTTGTCATGGCGACAAGAAAGTCATAAAGGAAGGACATAAGAGTTTCCCAAGCGGTCATACTTCATGTGCGTAGCATTTATTACCTGTGACTGATTTTTCCATGATCGCAACTTGGTTTGATTTTGTTTCATGAGAAATTGATGGTGGAACTAATAAAACTCAAATTCCGTTCGATGTTTGTTTGTAATTTCAATTTTTATATGCAGGGTCATTTGCTGGTCTGGGTTTTTTATCGTTGTACTTGTCTGGAAAATTAAAAGCATTTGATCGCAAAGGTCACGTTGCAAAACTTTGTATTATTTTTCTACCACTACTTGCTGCATCACTTGTTGCTGTTTCTCGAGTTGATGACTACTGGCACCACTGGCAGGATGTGTTTGCTGGAGGTCTTATAGGTTAGTCTATTTTTTGCATCTCAATTAATTGCAGATTAACTTAGCTTACTGTTAATAAACCAAAAAAAGAAAAACTACTTAGCAGTGTTTGTTGGTACTTTCAGGGCTTGTAGTTGCTACTTTTTGCTATTTGCAGTTTTTTCCCCCTCCTTATCACCATGAAGGTATGCCTCAGTGCAGATTCTTTTACATAAATTTTACATGTTTGTATTAGTACATAATACTCGACTCCATCTAAACTAAATAAATACTCACAGCTTCTTAAAACAGTTTCCGGTAAAAAAATGACCAAGGTTATGAATTTGTAGGTTGGGGTCCTTATACTCACAGCTTCTTAAAACAGTTTCCGGTAAAAAAATGACCAAGGTTATGAATTTGTAGGTTGGGGTCCTTATGCTTATTTTAAGATGTTGGAAGAATCACGAGGTGTGGCAGGAGGTCTTAATGCTCAAAATGGTAGTCGAGCTCAATCTGAGAACCAAGAAGGACAAAGTCAACATGGATGTATAGGGCTATCTTTAGCAGAGAATCAAACTTCAACATTAGAAGATGAACTTGAATCAGGGAGGAGATAAAATCTGCACACATTGCGATTTTGCTCTTTGTGAATGATAGAATTTGCTGAATATGTTTTCTACTAGGTTGTGACTACTAACTTTGAAGCTTACTTTTTGTTTACAAGAGATCAATGTTAGAATACTCATCCAAGTAAAAGTTATAAAGTGCAGTTTTTGTCTAGTTGCTGTAAAATTGCGCAAGTGATTTGAATTATGCAAAAACATAATATACACCCATGTAGCACAAACACCTTTGTTTCAACATTTTTAAATCGGTGTTCGACATCTTTATGACACTCACACAATGTGTTGAACAATTCAAATAAGTGACTAAAAAACTTGTTTTTCTTTTCTTCAACACACTAAAATTTTTTTTGGACAAATCTCTTACACCTCTCAGGGTTACACATCTTAGGGTTAAACATGCATTGTTATCGAGCAATGTTATTGGTACAGAATGAAAGATATGACATAAACTTTGATAGTTAGTGTTTTATGTTTTTGAGTTCCAGGGTTTCTTATGTTTTTGAAATAATATATTCGGTATCGAAATGTTGGTGTGGTGTGTCTGTGGTAGTCAGCCATATACAGTTATTCAAACACAATTTCATCAAATTGACCATACATATGGACTTAGGCATGGTCATATAAAATGAAATAAAAATAAAATAAAGCACATCATTCTCATATTTTACATGATTTAGTGTACCGCTGGACAATCAAATATGTAACAATTTCCAAAATTCAACAACAAAAGATGACTAGACAAAAGTTTGTGAAAACAAAACGAAAACGAAAAAAGTGCTACAAGCCTCGCTCATCATAGCTGAAAAACAATAGTTTTGTTGGAATCAGCAAAACTTTTCTTGGATTTTGCAGACTTACGAGTTTGGTAATCAAAACTGTAACCAATTCCTTGTCCAAAACCATAGCCAACACCCAAACCACAACCCATTCCAAAACCAAACACAAGGTTCAGATGGTTAAAAAGCGACCCTCCATATCCCAACCCACCAGTCAAACCCAAGCCTATTCCAGCACCGCACCCGAAGCCAGCTCCGAAGCCAGGACCCAACACTGATGTTTGAGCTTTGTCGGATTTGTTTCCGAGGAACTTGTTCATCGAGAATTGTTTTTGTTGGTTGTTGTTGGCGTTCCAACTCCATTTTGAATCAGTATCACCTTTGGTTTCCATTGCGTGGTTGATTGATTACGATACAAAATGTTGTTGCTGCTCACTTTCTGTGCCTGCCAAAGGATAACTTCTGAGCTTTGAGCACTTTCTTCTACCACTGATGAGATATACAAACCCAAAAAATGCAACTTATCTCACTCTTAAAATATTATAAATCACTTTACAATCTTTATAAAATATTAAGTATTATTTATTGTTTTAGATTTTTCTTGCTTTCAATTTATTTACTTTCTATTTATTTATTTATTTATTTATTAATAAATGATAATTGTGTAAATTTAGTTGTAATTTCCTTTTATGATATAAAATTAATTGTATTTTTTAATTTGTATAAAATTTCTAAAATAATTTTTAATTTGAAACAAGAGGAGTACTTTCACTTGTTTAGTAATCAAATCACACTATATAAAAATTGTCTTTAAAATATATAAGTTAAATAAAATTTCATGATTTTATTTTCTAATATCTTAATAGAAAGTGTCAAAAACATATTATAATTGAAATTACATGGAAATATTTCATTAAATCGTAGTTTTGTTTTGATATCGTACTTGTAAAATTACATCAATGATAACTCTATTTATAAATGATATTTTCTCTTGCGTTCTTCTCATTATATACCTATTTTGATTCGTCCTACATGAAAACTCATTAGTGGTCAACTAATGTTATTGATCTTGATTGCTATAACTTTTTAATGAGGATTGGAAATCAAGTTTGATTGTTCTAAATACTTGATCTTGATATCCTCTATTAGTAATAAATGTCTTCTTAATCATAACTTCATCTCATTATAGACCTTTGTAATATTTGGGTCGATATAAACTAATTTTGTCTCATTAGTTGTTTTAGCCTGGTCACTCCTAGATAAATTACTTTAAGTGGAGCAAGCTCTACCAGATTTGGGTTGATTCCGGCCCACTCCAGAACCCGGTCTACGAGATCATACATATAAATAACCCTTCAAGTATGAGTCGTGTAAGGGCAAAGTACTTCACTAAATTCCTCTAAGAAAATGAACTACACACAATTCCTCAAGGATGAGTTGTGTAAGGGAGAAATGCTTCACTAAAGTTCTTTAAGAAAACAAACATGTACACAACCCCTCAAGTAAGATCAGAACCTGAAGACTCCAGACTCTGATCAGGTCAGCATCTAAAGATCAAGTCAACCTCTAAAGACCCAGAGTCTGAAAGATCAGAAGCTAAGACTCAGAGTCTGAAAGATTAGAACCTGAAGTCAGTCAAAGCTCAAGAACCAAGGAATTTATGACAAGTCGCTATTAGAATCTTAGGTAAATTTTTCTTCTACTGGTTACATGAAGACTTAGCAGTAAGTTGCGAAAGTTTGAAGAATCGCAACTGATGTAGCAAATGAGTTTCAAATGGCATTGCAACGACATTAGCCATTTTCGGAAGCTTTGCAATATATTTGTCGATGCTTCTCTCAAAGACTCACTTGTGCAAGATGTCTTCTCCGACGACTCTTTCATGGTTCTCTTTATAAGGAGCTGAAGACTTGGAGAAACATACAATATTGCACATTGACAAGAAAAAAGAAGTTTATCTGTCAAAACAAAGAGCACAAATTAACTTAGAACTTCTTACCAAATTGTACATTCTTATAAGTTATTAAGTCTTAAATTTTCCTGTGTTGTATTCTGTTTACACCTTTGATTATATATTGGTGTGAAAAATGAAGGAAAGTTTGTTTTAAACTCTAAGGAAGGAAGCAAAGAATGTGACAATATCAAGTCCACATTGTTTAACAATGACAACTTTGTTGACTATAGTAAGATGAAGAATATGTATGTCCTTTAATGACTTCTATTCAAAATTCTTATCAGTAGCTTGATCTCTAGAGAAGATAGTACAAATTATATATCTTTGGATCATAGTCACTTCTTATGGTTCTTGATTAATAGGAAGAAGATAAATTTGGTTGCATATATTTTCAATCACCTATGTAAAGCTATCAAAGAAACCATCAAGAACAACAAGAAAAATGTTCGTTGTGTATGGCTTATCTCTAAACTGTTCCATCAGAGCAGGTTGATTCAATTTCTGAAGGAAAACAGTGCTTTTAATGTCTTGAGAGAATTCCATGGAAATTTATTGTTTGGAGCCATTCTAGGAAATATGAACATCATCAGTAAGAAGGTTGTTGTGAAGCCTCCAACCCCTCTCCAAGTCAGTTATGCATGTTTGCTGAAGCGGTAAAGCGACAAGCAAAAAGTAAAGTATTATTTTACTGAGTGATATAGGTTATATTGTATCGTGTTCATATAGATTGGTTTTACTGAATTACCGTTTGATAAATCTCGTTAATGAGTTTGAGGTTTGAATGAGTTTGTTTTGTATAGAAAGGAAAATAAATGAATATAAAATAAATACATTATTCAGGTAGAAACAACTTATCAAGCATGAATATACATTACTCTTCACAAACTTAAATCTATTGATCAGTTATACTTAACCTACAATACTCCTCAATATCAACATGTATCACTCACAACCTAGATCATGTCTAACCTAAATTGAGAGAACAATTGAATTCCTACATCGACAATCTCTCAGCACGACACAACAACACATAAGCATTAAGCTCTGATATCCATAATAATTATTAACTATAAATCTATCTCTAGAATCTAGAAACTAATAGATATTCATCTCTAATCAAGATTTATGAGATATATGTCTATAACAACTCAAATCCAAACATAAAGTGAAAAGATTAAAGAAGACACCAACAATGATTTGTAAAGCAGGTTTTATACAACACCATGATCTATACATATACATAAGTTCAAAATAACTATACAAACATAACCCAACAAAAGAAAGTTTACAAAAAGAGATAAACCAACACTTCTCGAGTTGTCAAGACGATTGGTAAGAATTCACCTTCGATTCGATAAGATGCAAGCTCCATTTGTTATTTTCAAGATCTTTCTATCAAAAAATGGTCTATGATGGATTGGGGTTCAAAAATACCCTAAACATACCTAAAAAATGTGTTTTTTAGCCTTAAAATGTGTTTCTCCCTAGGCAGTTTCTCCCGGCGACCAAAAAGCATCGCCTGACGCTTAAAAATGTGTTTTTTTCACGCTTCTGGTCGCCTTTACATTGCCCGGCGACCAAGGGGCAACAATTGACAGTAAGTTGAAAAACTAGCACAGTTTCATTCATAACTTGATAACCGTAACTCTGATTTACGCATGTTTAGAAGCGTTGGAAATCTTATTCAATACACTATCTAACAATGCATAAATATAAATGCTTGAATACCTACAAAAATGATATAAAACTAATTAAACTTAATGATATTTACATGATAACATAATATATACACTATAACATAAACTATACCGAATATAAGGTTTATTGACAAAAAAACAAATGAATTGAGCCGATAAATGCTAATTATTCACACTCAAATTCACAAAAATTTAGCACTCATCAAACTCTGCCCAACTTAAAATATTGTTTGTCTTAAAACAAAGTCAAATAAACTTAAAGAAGCAAGAACGATCAACCAAAGAATCATGAATCAACAAGTTTCAGAAAACAAAAACAAATGTATGGTTTAATTACAAAAATGCACAAACAAGATAATACTTACCATAATCCTACAATGATAACATGTAAACGAAACAAATCCTAAGTACAAAAATCATACTAAACATTATAAAACAAAACATACTCAATCATGAATCACACCTAGTAAAAATTCATCGGTAGATGAAGAACACACAAAGGTGAGGAACAAAAACACCCATCCACAATCTTGAAAACAATAGACTAAATTATGCATTCATCCA